TCCGATATTTGATTGGCCAAATATTGTCGAATACGGTTAAATATGATCAAATTCAAATAAATGTTTTTTAGACAATATTTACTTTATTTTGTGTAATCTCAAATGAATCCGTAATATTAATTTTATAATATTTTTTAAATTGATTGTCATTCTATAACCAATGTTTCAGTCAGCCTGTTTTGAATAATATTCAATATTATCATTTTTTTAAATATCTTTTAATCAATTTTCCTGTTGTCATGGTTTTCAGGCGATTTCTATTTTTCGTATGAATATTAACCCAAATCAACCATTATGCTTTTCACATATTTTGCTATTAAATATACCGCTTTTACTTCTGAAATTTATTATATCACTTGATATATTTTATCATCACCAATTAAAATACCTAATTATTGTATTATATTATATGCTTCATTAAATTCATTACCATTCAATAATCAGCATTATCACATGTATTTATATACTTTTCCCATTTTTCAAACATATTTTTCTTTTTCTTTAGATATTTTATAGTATTTGACCGTATTTGACCAGTTTAAATACTTTTTCGGTCAATTGACGGAATTAATCTTGATTCAAACAATATTGGGATTAAAATGAGGTTCGAAATCTTTTTAAAAATAGAAAACAATTATGGGGATAAAAATGTTATCTGAATTTTATTTAAAATTACATTTATTTCGAAACCTTCTACTTGTATAATTTAAACATAAATTTTTTTTATCGAACTTAAAATCACGTACCAAATTAGTTTGGTATGTTTACACAAATGAATAAAATTGTATAAAAAATTAGTTATTAATTTGGTTTAGATAGGACTAGGTATAACCATAATAGTTTTAGATTAAATATTTTATATCTTATAAAAAAATATTCTGAATCTTCATGAATTAATAGTGTTTGGAACGAAGTTCGTTTTTTTGAAAAAAATGATGAACGGCGTTCCTTTTATTTTTGCCGAACTTTGAACTTGAACGCGTTCCTTTTTTTGACGAACGCGTTCGAATTTAACGTTCGTTCAATTTTAAAAACACTATTTTATTTATTTGAAAAATTTAATATTAATCCGAATTTTTTAAGAAAAAAGTCCTATATTTTTTAATCAGCTGCTTTTTCATATTTCAATTTTTTTAACTGATGCTAAATTCTTTTAAATTAAATTTTCCTTTACTATAACTTTAATCTTTAATCTAAACCGAAAATTCTTTCTAACGTCACCTGAATCTTTATAAAATCTTCTTGGATTCTATGAAATGGAGAACAATTTCACAGGAGTAACAAATTGCATTCCTTAATATAAATGGAATGAAGACGGATCTTAAGGTTAGAAGTGGTGAAAGTATACATTATAGGTAATCAAGAAACTCTTCAAAGGAATAACACTGCAAATTTAATGATTAAAATATTTTGCTCGGGTAGCACTTCCAAAATCTGGTCTGGGAGAGCATTCCTAATAAATAAACGAATACATAAATTCATCATCAAATTCGTACCCATATCTGAAAGATGTGGTCTTCTCTATTTAAACACAAATTTTAGACCCACAATAATAGCAAATTTCTATGGTCCACCAATTTGAAATGAAAAATTAGGCTTCATCGACATAATGATAAATACGATCCATTCCCTACCGTGCAAATAGAATATAATAGTTCTAAGCGATCTAATGAAAATTGGTAAGAAGCAGAATATGTTAGCAGTAATATCACCGGGTATACCATGCAACAACCGACTAGCGAGGATAGCAAGAAATTTCTTGATTTCTGCAGAAACATGAACTTTAAAATCGAAAAATACCTTTTTATGCCACGGAGAAATAAACACATAAACCTTTTGAGGGCTCGGCAGAAATCCCAAATTAATCTTTTCATCTCTAATATCCACCAGTGGTTTGACGGCATCAACTAATATAAACTTGTCGGATCATAGAATGCTTATAGCTATTATTACCGTAAAAAATATTTGGGGCTATTATAACAGAATTAGACAAAACTCAACTGGATCTAGTACAATTCATTTGAAAACAACTTTACACGTAAACTCAGTAAATTATAAACACCTGAAGATGTAATAATTTTTAATCAAGCATTAAATAGGGAAAGAGCTAACTCCTTAAACATAACTAGCACAGAAAAGTAGAAGAATATTGGAAACTATTTAAAAATGATCTTGCATGATGGTTTGGCAAATGTTTTCAAGGAAAGAATGGATGTCTAGTGAGACATTAGAAAAAATAAATCAACTTAGAATGAATGGCTCGAATAACGACTTATGGAAAAACATACAGAGATTATTGAGGAGTGATAGGCGGATTTACTTATCAAAAAAAGCCATTGATATCTATAAAGATATGAAAAGATAATATGATTTATGACGCCTATAAAAAATTAAAATATTTCTGTAAACATTGCAGTTTTAGAAAACGGAAAAGTAATCATTGACCAGGGGAACAAATTATGGCTTGATTATTATATTATGATCTTCGACTCTCGGAAAACAACTCTACTAACAAACATAAATACAAACCTCGTCCCATTCCCGTCTGGTTTCTCCATAAATAAAATAAAATGTAACGAAAAAATTAAATTCCAGGGCTAGATAATATCACAGATGAATACCTAAAATCGCACCATGACAATATCTTACTTCCTATTAGCCCTCTTCAATAAAATATGGGAGAACGGAAATACTCCAGTGGAATGGAACAAATCCTTCCTATGTAATTTCCCTATAATCAAAGACCCACAAAAATTTACTTATTATCGAGTCGTAGCCCTTATATCCTTCAAAGACTTTTATGGTCCTCTTAAAAAATAAAATCATATTATCCACACTTCATCTTTTCCCCATATACATATGCGCGTACAGACCAAACAAAAATATAATAGAAGAGCCATAACCCTAAAAATAATTATGCAGAAATGTTGCAAATACAAAATACCCTCCCCTACTTTACATTTGTGGATTTTAGTAGAGCTTTTGATAATGTTAATCATGAAACTCTATGCAACGCTGTCAGAGTGTGGCCAATAGAGCGCATTTTTATTATAGCTAATGCCATATTAACTGCCAAGCGTTCCTGTCAATCAGATAAAAAAAATTTGAAAAGCAATTGTTAATAAAAAAAAATTAATACGAAGAAATTTTTATAAATAAAATTATCTTTTTAATCGCTATATTATATTGCATTTATAATATATTATCAAAATAAAACTACATTATTTTTTAATATGTCTAATATATTGTGTTAAAAATATAAGACATTTATTTTTATTAAATTAAATTTAAAAAAATTTATCATAAAATTTTGAATGAAAGTGAAGTTCGATTTTTTCAAAAATGTTTACAGCGCTGTAAATTAGTAATTCAAACAATAGTAAATAAAAATGAGGTTTAAAACTTTAAAAATATATATATTAATAAGTGTAAAATGTTATTTAAATTTTCGTTTTGGAAATTTTTTACTTGTATGGTAATTCGAGATAAATAAAAAATATTTTATAAAATATTTAAAAAGAAATATTCTCTCAAATCCCTATTCCAAATTCTCATTGATTCCATATCCCCAAATTGTATAATTTAATTTCTTTCTTACAATACTAATCAATTCACTAATTAAGTTTTGGTATGGATCATGATACCCTCCAGAATGGTTGCGATAGACGTAAATATATAATGGCTGAAAGTTTAGGAATAGGTCAAGTAACATGGTCAACCTGCAGTGCCAATATCATCGCAGCTTATATTAGGCACATAAAAAATATATCTTCTTATTTTTTTTCTTCAAATATAAGATAAATTTATAGTATAATTAAAAACAGGGCATATTATTATTTTATACGTTCAAAATGTATTACTGAAGAGGATAATACTAATAACTAATGATATTGCTGTGATAATTAAATTTCTTTAAATTTATATCAAAAAATATTTATATTTAATTATCAAATAGAAGTCCTCAATTTAGTTGTCTATTTCAAAGTAACAATCGTCGTTCTTATGCTATGGAGTTGGGTAGAACTAATAATCAAAATGAAAATGAATCAAGTAACGTATTTACAAATAGAATTTTGCCTGGGTTATTATATAATATAAATGAACAATGCAAAAGTTTCAATGGACCTAATAGTAGCCATGATAGTAGACAAAGTCTTGAGGTTTAATCATTCATTTCTATAATTGACTCGTTGGCATATGGCATAATAATTTATATTTTTAAATAATTATAACCATTAGTATATTATAGTAATTAAAAAATTTTTTTACCATATTTATAATTAAAATATTGATTTTTGTTATTAACCAAACACGTTATAATTTCATTTTTTAAAATTACAACTCTTATGAATTTTAAGATTGTTATTAATGAAAAATTTTAGACTTCTACTGAGCATTTTTAATTATCAGATAATTAGGCAAGGGATCGATTTAAAAATCACAATTATCATACTTATAAGATTTAAAAAACTAAATTTCATTTCTTTTTCTATTAGACAGTATGTCAATTCGTTCAATGCACAAACATAATTTCTAGATTTTATCGTTTTCCGGCATTGGAAGGAACAATATGTGGCCCTGGAAAAGTTTTATTATTTATACAAAACATTTTAAATTTTATTATTTGGATAAACAAAGTCTTTGAGTTAGCCACATAGATTCTCAAATATGCATAGACATCTCACTCGTAGGGGCATAGCCAGGAATTTGCTTTCCAACGTGTGCTAAAAATTTTAAAAATTTTTCGCCTTACAAAAATATTATTAATCTCTCTTAATTTATTTTTTAAATATTAATTTAAAAATGATTTTTTAATAAATATTTTTCCCATAAGGCTACAATATTTTTAAATCTTATTTATCAAATATTTTGAGAATAATTTAATTATATTTACAATTTTTATTAGAGAATAAGATAATAAAATTAATTTCAAAAAAATTGATAATTATTTCATACCAGTATATAAATATATATTAAAGTGGTGCAAAGGTGGCATATGCGTCTCTCAAACAAATATTTCATTAAAATTTCGACAAGAACATGGATGGTCTTTTTGGTATTTATCCGTGCCCTGCACATCTTTGTGCCTTCAAAATAGTATTGGCATAGAAGAATTCAGGAGGACATGCCATAGCTCTATGTATAAATACTAAGTTTAAATATTATATAGGGATTTTCCATTCGTAAAATAATGATTTGTAATTAAAAGAATTACTATTTATGAAAAATATTTTGAACAGCTATGAAAAGTTTTTATAAAGTTAATTTAAAAATATTTAGAATTTTACGAATTATTGCCAACAAAGTAGAGACCTGTAAACAGGCCTGATAGGCCTAGCTTGGCTAAAATATATTGAAAATATCTGGCCTTCATAAAAATGTAAAATAAATTGACAGTTTTACCCTAAACATTATCTACACATGTTGGAATACATTTCCAGTCTAATCATATTTTTTAACTGAGCCTAATGCGACCCCATATTAGATTATTAGATTCCTTATATTTTGCAGAATAATTTTAAACTTGATAGTTGATATAGTTGTATTAGAGGTCGGCGTAGGCCGGACTGTAAAAATTTTTTATTGAGGTTTTTGCCCAACCCATATAACTTTTTATTAAAAAGATATAAATTCTAATTATCAGCTTTAAAACATTTTCAAAACTTAAACCCAGTTCGTAAATCATTTTGCACATTTTGTCGGAATGACCCGGCTTTTAGCTACAGCTAATATAAAAACATAACTAGAAATTTAGTTACAAAGTTTTTTTCCTGACTGATATATTTTTTTTTAAATATAGATTATACTAATTAAATTTTTTAATAATAACAAATAAATAAAATATAAGAGTTATCTATTTTTGCCGGTTCTTTTTATTGTTTGATAATTTTTATTTATAAATGAGGGGATCATATCATAAATAAATAGTTTGATTTTTTATGAATTACTAAATTATTTATAGATTTAGTATTTTAGTTAGGCAGTGTTTAAAATACAAAAAAATAAGCATATTGTAATTTATTTTCAAATTGTATATTAATCAAAATCAAAATATTAGTTTAAAATTCAAAAAAATATATATAAATTTGGATGCCCGGGCTGGCCTATTAAAATTTATGACAAATCAGAATTTAAAAGGCACTGCTATATATTTTATGTATAAATTGTCCGGCTCAGCCAGAAAATGATTAATTATGCACGAATTGCTATGGCAGCCCAGCTAGTTAAATATTTTAATCGGCTGATATATATTTTTTTTTAATTTCTGGACCGGCCCGTTTTAATTATGTAAATCATATTTTTATCAATAAAGGTCAATATTAAATATAAATTTATTATATATTAAAAGATTGAACCCAGAATTTAAAAAAATTAGCAGGCCTTCGTATATCATAGCAGAAAAGAGTTAAAATAAGATATGCCTATTTTCAATTTTTCTAAATTTATATTTTTTGTAATTAGAGACACACAATCCGAAGATTGCACAGGCGAATCCATTTATTATAATATTTGCCCATCATCGGTATTATACAACATTTTCATATTGTAAAATTCTATATTTCCAATAGTTGTGTCCGATCAATAGAACATCTCTTAAACATTACATTTCTTCAAAATGTTCAAATAATACATTATTTCATAACACATTCGTTTTTAGCGGCATAGGTCATCAAAAGCACTATAGGAAAGAAAGTTTAAAATTACATATAATATTATACATTTTTAAAAAACATTTTATTTAGATAAAGCTGAATCCTGTCGTATATATTGCGATTATAATATTTTAGGTAAAACTGATATTAACACCTCTCGAAAATCTATTATTAAAGGTATTCTTCCAACTGGAACCTTATGTAATTCAAATCCTATAATGTATTGTATTAAAGGAATATGCCAAAGTGTGGTAAATAAATTACTGATTATTTGTCTTGAATTATTTTATTATTTAGAATACTAAAGATCCTTTTACTCAAAATAAGATGTTATAATGGCTTTGATTGATTTAATAAATTATTATTTTGTTTAATCTTATTGTATTTGTAAATATGTTAAAAATATGTTATCAAAACTTATTTTTTAAAACATGTTATATATTTGGAAAATTAATGAAATATAAGATATAAATTATAATAATCAAGAATTATAAGTATAATCCTGCCTTTTGTTTGGATGTATTGTTATATAGTCAATTTTTTACCACTCAAACTTTAGTCATATTGGTAAAAAACGGCTCATATGGCTTAATGTGCAGACTCGCAAACCAGACATCTGAGCTGACTGTACTATTCTTTTAGAATTAATAATTTTAAAAATGTATTTCTGACTTAGACCAAAGGAGCTTGTCTTTTTAGTAAAATATGTAATATATTTTTTATCTTAAATTAGTTATCCTAGTGCGTGTTTACAAAACATGAACGTATTTACCTTTTGCATGATCGGTCAAATTTTATTTTTCAAAATCATTAATCAGTTAGAAAGGTACCCTGTAGTGTTGTTAATTTGCTTGGTCTTAAAATTTACGACCCAATTATCTGCTGAGGCCTGCTTTGTGCACAAAACCCGTATCAGGTCAATTCAGCGAAACTTTTATCGCCAAACACTTTTTCGCGAAACATTTATAGCGAATGTCGTTTATCGCGAAGGAATTTTATAGCGAAGACAATATCGCGAACTCATTATCACCAATTTATTTCCGCGAAACCTTAACCGCGAATACTTTATAGCGAATACATTTTAGCGAAACTTTGATGGCGAACTCGTTATAGTGAATTTATTTCTGCAAAACTTAAACGCGAATACTTTATAGCGAATATATTTTAGCGAAATTTTGATCGCGAAGTCGTTATAGCGAATTTATTTCCACGAAACCTTAACCGCGAATACTTTAGAGCGAATACATTTTATTGAAACTTTAATCGCGAACCCTTTATAGCGAATTTCTACAGCGAATGTATTTGCGCGAAATTATTATAACGAGCGCATGGCCGCGAAAATTGCAAATTCATTTATTTAAGTGAAATTGATATATTCAATACCAATTTACCAACCGAAGTTTCTTTAAATCATAAACGCGATGTTTTAAGAATATTTTATTAAGTATTGTTTATTTAGTAAGCATGTAACCTTTATCTGATGTGATAGAAAATACATTAGTCTTTCTGGTCTTACTCACTCATGGTTGTAAGTATGGAGGGGACATTTTGGGTTAAGTTTTTACCAAAAAAGTTAACCCCTACCCAACATAAAATTTTAAAGTGTGCTTTATGTCATTTAAAGTAAATTTTCTGAAATACTTTTTTTTAATCTAGATAAAAAAAATATGCTGAAAGCTTTATTGACTTTCTCAAATTATTTTTAAAAATTATAGACGATTTTACTGATAATTATTGCCTTCTAATTATAATTTTTAGATAATGCACATCAATTCTGATATAATAGTAACTAATTCATTTGAATATTTTGACCTCTCCTTTTTCTTCTTTTCGCATTTTAATAAATAGAAATAACTGCAAAGTTATGATTAATTAAAAAAAAATTCAAAATATTCTATTGGATTACATAAATTTGTAATATTTAGGAAGAATAAATTATGGACATAAATCATTTCTTCATTTGTTTTAGTTTTTTATTTTTGCTGATTTCACAAGTCTAACTAAACAATATAAAAAATTAAAAAACGTAAAATAGTTTTCCCATTTTTTAAAATAATACCAGTTCAATTTAAATCGTAGCGTTTTTATGAAAACACCGCTAAACGCTTCTACTCAATTTCTAAGCACTTTCACTTATTTTTTCTAATAAAATGGAATTAAAATAAATCAGGATTTTTTGAAAATAAATAGAAAATGTACAAATCAAGAAAATAAAGATATTATAATATCGGGAAACCGGGGCAAAATGGGTTAAGTTTTATTTGTTTACTCTTACATATTTTACCACAATAAGGGCGGGATGGGGGACGTGTTAAAAAACATTTTCTAAATTTTGAGAAGAGTATTTAAATGAAAGATAATAAAAAATAATTATAAAAGTGACTATGATTTTAATTCTAGATTAAATAGGTGTCTTATTCAATTTTCTCATTTTGTAAATTGCAAAAATTTTTAGGCCCGGCCATACCTCCCATATTCTAAGAGTGAGGTGGGATTTTTAATGACTAAAGGATAAAAAGCGGGAAAGCGCGACAACTGCAATTCTTTTATATAAAAATATTGGTGAATAATTTTTTTCAAATTATAATTTACAAATTATAATTTGAATTTGATTATTATCCATAAAGTCAAAATATATAAAAATAAGATCCAAATCTACATATTTATCGGAAGGAATTTATTTTATTTAAAAGTTTATTATATATGAAAATAAATTTTAACTCTTCGCAATTCATGTCAAAATTCTGCTTTACTATTAATTCGGCCTAATAAATCAAATGAGACCGAAGAAGAATTTTTTCGCCTAATCATATTCATTAAACTCATCTCTGAGCCAGCATTTGAATGTAGAATTTAAAATAAATTTTTAGATATTTTTTAGGCTTATATTTACATTTATATTTAATTCTTTCAAAATATTCTAACTTGATCGAATCATTCAAAAATCAAAGGTTTAGGCTATTTAAATCTATAATTACCATAACAGTTTGATAATTCTGAGTAACTTCTTTATATGCTTCAACTTGTGTATCAGAACAGAGGAAGAGACAAGATTTATATATTTTAATATCAGCGCCGTTAAATTTGGAGGCTGAATAGTTCTACGAACTAATTGTAAATTATATCAATATTTCTTGCTTTATTTGTACCAATTGAGTATTTAAACGAGTATAGTAGCTCGTAAAAGGAAAAAACTATTAGTAACAAAATTTTGGCAAATCTATGATTTAAGCGACGGAAATAATTTATTCAGAAAATTTTATCGATGTTCCGTATTAATTATAATTTAATTCGTTTAATAGACAGTATAAAGAAAATGTTTATTAGCAAAATAAGAAAAATTGCCTAATTTGGCATTATTGATAGAATGGAAAATAGCTGGTTTGCGCTAATATTTAAAAATCAACCAAATTTCTGGAAGCATTAAATCTGGAACTTAAATCAATAATTGAAATTTATTACATTGATTCTTCAATTCGTTTGGTAGATAGTTTTTACTGACAAAATAAGATAAAATTGCCAAGATTGGCAACATGCGAAAACAAACAAATATTTTTGGGTGAGCTCATACCATATGAAATGCCAGATTAGTACTTACTATTCTGTCAATCAGTTTTTCCAGTCAATAAACAAAAACTAGTTCTATTACGCGAAATATACAATAGCACATCTTTAAGTATGAACCAAAAAGTTATTAGAATTTCAAAATATGAATCAAATTTAAGATTGAACAAAGAATCTAAAAGAAAGCAATTATAATAAAAAAAATTTCGATATTTTAGCCAAAAGAAAATTAAGCTTGGAAACTTTTCCGACAGATTACATAATTTGCGGCAACTTTGTAAAATGTTATATCAAAATGAGATGGATTGGTTATGGTAAAATATAGTTAATTTTTTCATCAAGCGAATGGGTTGAGCTATTGTTTAATAACGTAATATTAAGTGCGCTTAACCTCTCCGAGAAGCGTTCCGTTTTATAATTATAATTTGTAAAAAATATTGTGAAAATGGATTATAAAATAAAATGATGGTATTGTTTATTTTTAGATTTGTAAGATTTTTTTATGTTTTTTTTAAATAAGAATTTTCTGAGATAATTTTATTTGGAATATGAAAGGAGTTTTATCAATTTAAAAGAAAGTTGTCATCAATCATATTTCCCAGTGAGGGAGGTTTAGCCCTTCCCCCTTGTCAACGCCACTGGTCAGAACACTTATTTAAAAACGATTTTATAAACTGTAAAATCCAAGCTGATAATGGTTTTTCTTACCATATTCTCCATAATTTATAATAAATCGTTTATAATTACATTAGAATTTTAATTATTTCATCCAAAACCGCATACAATTAAAATAAAGCCTAGCGAAGAATAATTTTAAAATTATTGGTGGATGTTTTAGAGAAAATAACCTAAAATGCTATAAGTTCTTTGTAATAAGTGAAAGGTAAGGCATCTCATATACATTTCTTATATATATTTCTTAAATCTAGTTTTAATAAAAAAATTTAGATATATTATTATTTTTAATGCCATTCTTCGCGAGAGAAATTTAATATTTACGTAGTAAAAAAAAAATAAAAATAATTTTTAAAAAAATATAACCAAAAATGCGCAAGATCTAAAAGTCGAAAGGCTGCATGATACGAAAGGCTAAAAAATAATATTGAAAATAAAAATAACAAAGAAAATGATTAATGTGTAATTTGATTGATTTATTGCTTTTTTTACGAGAAAAATATTATAATAATATTACATTATAATATATTAAAAAATGGAAATTTTAAGATCTTTTCAATTTTTTTATTCATTCTTTGAAATAAATTGCGGTTTTAATTTTATTTAATTTTATTAATTTTTAATTTATATTTTTAATTAAATTATATTTATTTATTTAAAAAAAATGGAATATATTATATTAAAAAAATGGAAATTTTAAGATCTTTTCAATTTTTTTATTAATTCTTTGAAATAAA